TGCAGCGATGATTGGCGATGGTGACGTTAAAGCCTCAAGGGTGCCCAACGCCATTACCATTTCAGAAAATTGAAATCTGCACTATTTCTCCACCACGCAAATCAAGAATTTGCCATCACATATATTAGTGTGGACCGCACTAATTTTGAATCCGCACTAATTTCCAATCCGTACTAATTACGGTAAACGGTGTAGTACAATGTATTCCCTCAATGCCACTAATAACCTACCGACTCTCGGTAGATATCTATCTGCAGCTCGGATGGTTAATGGATTCATTCGTTCAAGACCCGGCAATGTGATTAGTTGAGTTCGTTTGACTTGCCCACCAGCACAACCAACTAATTACAGCCAGGTAGAGCTTCACGTCCAAAATAACGTCAAGGATTCACGCAAGCATGCAAACCGAATAGAATACATTTATTACGAGACAACAAGCCTGTTTAGTGCGATGGGCCCACGGCGTACGTAATGTGCATGGGGGCAGAGCCACCGGCCAACGTGATGACAATCTGGGTCAAGATGGAAAACCCGTCGCCGACCATCAACCCCGCCGCCAAAATGTACTGGGTCTTGTGGAACTGGGCTGGGTTCACGTGGTTCCAGTAGGCGCAGATGCTCGCGACGACAATCCCTTGCAGCCCAAACGACGCCGGGATGATCATGCCAATCGCCACGGCCATGGGGACGGGGCAGTGGTTGGCCACTAGCCTGACGATCTTGATCTTGGATTCCGAGCACACGTCGATGAAGATATTGAACACGACCGTGTAGATGGCCCCGATGAGCATGAAGAGGCCGCAGTGCTTGGGCAACCCGTCGAGGCCTTGAATGGCAGTGATACCCAGGATGCGGTACACTTCCCCGAACGGCGCCGCGATCACGTCACCGGGGATCGTGTACGCCGACGTCATCATGACCCACACGGACGGGACAATCAAGCACGACATGACCGCCCCAAAGATTTGCGCGATGATCATCGACTTGGCCGAGGCGCCGACGAGGTACCCCGTCTTGAAATCTTGCATGAGGTCCGCGGCTTGGCTGCACCCGACGATGACCATCTGGCACATGAGCAAGCCGGCAATGATCGATCCGTCCTGGGACCATCCGCCGATGATGAAAATGATCAACTTGCCCACGGCGCTCGAGATGTTCCAGTCTGTCATCCCCACGCCTTGAATGATCCCGATCGCAAACACGGGGATGAGCAGGCAGCACACAAGCACCTTCCACCACTCGACGGACGGGAAGATCAGCGAGATGACCACGACTGAGACGGCGGCAAACAGCACGAGGCCCGAGACCCAGATCGTCGCTGGCACGTGGGTGGCGTCGAAGAGCTTGTCGAGGAACGCTTGACGCTGGACATCGACGGACTTGACGTCGCCCGCGTCGTCGATGGCGGCAGATGGGGCGTTGCGGCTGTCGCGCCACGCCTTGTACAGCATTATCACGACCTTGACGATGCTGTAGAGCGCATCTACGCAGATGATGGCCACCGCCGTGAACGTGTAGTATGCCTTGAGCCCGTCCACCTTGGTCGAGGTAAACCAGTCTCCGTTGCCCTTGTACGCGGCAAGGTATGGCGTCATGATAGCGAACGAGATCACACAGCCCACAAAGATGGACGACATGACCCGGAATGGCAACATGACTGCAATGGCAAACGTTCCTGGGGCCCAGTCACACATCCAGCCGTACTTGGCCGGCTCGAGTCCAAAGATGGGGAAGCTGCCGAGCCCTTCAAAGCAGTAGACAAAGATGGACCAGCAGTACGACACGATGCCGCTCTTGAACAGGACGTTCCATTGATACTCGACGGCGTCTTTGGATGAGTGCAACGTTTGAATCATCACGGCGGTGGCGGTTCCACTGGGAAACAACAGCCGGCTTTCGATGATCATTTTCCGACGCAAGGGAAACGAAATGAAAAACCCAAACAAGGCAATCGAGATGCACCACCCAAACGCCTTGGTCCAGGTCACGTCGACCACATCCGACGCGTTGTTGCCCTTCTTCTCGCCCACGTCTTCGTACACGTTTTGGGTGAGCGCGAGCACGCCAGAGGCGAACCCACCCTGACTCGCCAGCGAATAACACGCGACGGCGCACGTTTGAATGACTACGTTTTCTTGCACGGAGAAGTACCCGTGAAAGAGCTTGATTTTGAGCAACCAGTTGGTGAGCATGAAGCCCCCAACCCCAGCCAACACGTTGAGGGAAGGAACGACACCGACTTTGAGGCCATAGTACATGCCCAGAACGCTGAGGAAGGAGCCGATGATAGTGCCAACGACCAATGACTTGACCGTCACTTGGGGGTACTCGAGGCCTTGTGTGATCGCGAGGAAGTCGCTGGCTTTGATGGCCGAATCGTCTTCGCCCCCCACGATGTCCTCTTCTTTCTTGGCTAGAGGGTCGTACGGGGTGGACGCTTCATGGTAGCCACCAACGTCGGTGGCGGCTTTGCGAGGAGATTCCATAGAGGTTGTGTTGGACGCTCGACGCAAATTCAAAAGTGAATCGATTCGAAATCGCCTCGTCCATATATATGCGTGCGTATAACCAACCTCGGAGTATACAGTATGTATACGTATAGGTGCACAAGAGTGTTTGTTGGCTGTGCCCCCTGCACGAACCTTGAACTTCAACGAATCTTTCACTACACATCACGGCCACCCGATGATAGTCAAATCCCCGGTATTCGTCCCCAAACACCGGGTATAAAGTCCCATTTATGGGCTCTCAGAACGGCGGGATGACGTTCTCAGCTTGAACTCCCCAGCACATTATCACGTGTCCGCATTTGCCCATCCATACCTTGTCAATGGTACCTCCTAACATTAAAGCCGCGAGCCACCGTGCTGCTGATTGCTGCTACCGGTATTTCCACTCGGACAACTGGCACACTCTTACAGTAACTCGCACGTGTCTACATAAGTTGGCGCTACTTCGTCAACAATTAGTGGTTGAAGCACTAGCATAGTATCTTTGCACAGTCCAAGCTTCCTTCTCAGCCTCAGTAAACGCGTGGTTTTATGTAAGTGCACTCAGGAGATTGCGTTTTACTCGTATATAACGCAGCAGCTGTTCCCAGATTCTGCATCTGATGGTCCATGCTTATGCGATGACGTTCCGTTGGCTTAAGAGGCAACAGCACCAAGTCGTCGCCGCACTCCATGTCTAGCCCCACGGGAACTCGACAATAATAACTTGACGTCGTGTTTTATATTTTTATATTGACGTTTTACAAGTAAAGTTGTTTAAGGTGTGTTGTTCCTAACTACCACAGCCACACATCTGGGTCACCATGTGGTTCCTTGGAAGTCAAACCACAAGACAGCCCATGGCTCCTATGCCAGTACATATGTCACGTACTAGTATCGTAATTATATTTAACACAAGAACGCCAATTGTAGTACTAGTACTTCGAAGTACTCGTAGATTTGAATGCTCAGACGACTGCGAATTGACTCTGCAGGTGAACATGATGAGTTTATAGGTGAAATGTCGTTTCAAAACATTTTGTGAGTTGCCAAAGAATCTCGTCGATAAGGAAATATATTGGCACCAAACTGATCGTTTCGCATGGGTACCCCCTTTCTCAACGTTTGTACTCATACTGTAAATTCGCACCACTGCAAATGTATGGAGGGCATCCATCTCATCGGAATGCTCCTTCGACGCGTTCGCTTACAGTAATGATGATAGAAAGTACTATATCGATAGTACTGGACTACTTTAGCTTACCAACTACTACGTATTATACTACGTAGTATTAATATCTACAGTACCTAAGTACTACTAGTAGTACTAAGTAGTACCTACTCCGGAGTACAAAGTACTGTACTACGAAGGTACTGTACTGTACTCACGTTACGTAGGTACTATTAATAGTACTACGTACTTATAATAGTACAAATGAATCTGAAGGCACCCACGATGCCGTTTAGGTGATGCGTCGTTGATTGGTGCGCAATGTAACTGCTTTGAGGAGCTTGTGGTGCCGTTTCGAACAACAGCACAACCTTAGTCCAACAAATGCTGCCGCCAGCCTTCGCTTGGACGGCTGCTGCTGCTGTAGCCTTCCTTGGATGTGTTGAAGGTCAAGCTGCATTCGCTGCAGTGACCACGACAACGCCCAAGCGAGGCGTGACGACCTGCTCGAGCCTCCACGGGCCACACTGCTTCGCCGTGAACGAGCGCAATGTTCCGTCGTATCTGTTGCACGGTGTCGAATTCGAGCAGGAATGTTCGACTATACCAACGCCAACTTGTCCTTGTCCCCTTCCTGACGTAACCTTGACCTGTAGAACGCGATTGATGGACAGCAACGCCAGCCTATTCCGCATATTCAGGTCCCTCAAACAAAGAAGTTGGCGTCCCATGGTTTTGCCGACGATGTTCTCTTTGGCGGCATCTCGATCCAATCGCTACGACCGGAAGATGCCCAGAAAGCGTTGGCGGCGACGGCAAACGCCCTGAAAGAGTGGATGCAGCGCCAGCCAGGGTACTCTGAGAGCATGCTGCACACTGCCATCCAAGTCGCGGCCAAGAAGATCGAAGCGCTGATTCCGACACAACCGTCATCGTCGCTCCAGCCACCAACTTATTCCATCCTGACGTCCGAGTCGACTGAGAGTGAACCCCCAATGACTGCCCACACACCAGACAAGCAGGTCGTAACCAGTGTAGGGAACGACACGGCGGAACCGATCAAGGACCACCCACGCACGGGAACGTTGCGAGAATTTTCCGACGACGACGTGATGGCGTTCATGTTGCTGTCGCGCGAAGAAAAGAGTCTCCTCCTTGAATTCGACACGGCCCGCACCCGGCGGTTGATCAAAGCGCAAGGTAATAATTCATACTTCCCTTCAACACCCATGTTGAAGTTGTCGTGTGTTCGAGCCATTGTTCGAATCAACGAAATTCGTTTTTATGGTCGTTTTGTGTTTTTTGGAGATTCTTGGTTGTGGCGACGAAATCAATTCCGTCGTATCTTGTACGTAGGTCAATTCCTTCGAGGTTACAAGTACACGACGAAGGACTCCAACGGCCAAGAGCATGGCACACTAAAGGTACGGGTTTCTTATACATTGCCCACGTCAGAGTATCGAAACTGCTCAACGCTTTGGCTGGTTGAGAAGGTGGAGATGGATCATGTGGTTGTGTGCTGTAGCTTGTGGACAAGGCGCTTCAAGACGCCACCCAAGCCCTCAAACAACGGCTGCACGACGCCATGTCCCAACAAGCGGCCGACACTCGCTTTGGCCACGACAACTCGAAGCCGTAGACCAACCATTTGAAAACCAGACTACGGTAAAGACGTTATATGTATAATAAATATATACCATTCCGGTAGTGCGAATTAGTATACCACACTTGTTCGACTGTAGCAAAGCCACGATCTGTACAAATAATAAATAGTGCATTGATTGGATCACTGTGTACGGCTTACTCCGGAGTATGTATGTGATGGTGAACATACTACGTACTGTAAAATATAGCAACGGGATATGCTCGACTGGGTGGATACGGTAGTTTGCAGCGATGGACAACGTAACGCCACCTTGCCCTTTGTCGTGTATAGTACAAGTACATAAGAATGACATTGCCTTCAGCAGTATTGTGGAAATCATCTTTAGCGTTACAGTACGTTATTATGAAAGCATCAAATCAAAGTGCCGCCATATTGGATCCAGTCAGAACACCCTGTTCTGCTAGAGAACATAACCACTGCCCTGTCAGTCAGGTAGCAGTGTCTGCTAGCTGTGTAGGAGGTTTTTGTGCCTTCTAGAGGCTTTTCCTCAGAGTAGAAGACAGCGCAGAGTCGTCACGGAACATCACAAGATGTCGTGACCAATCATAATCTAGGATTTGATTGGCTGTTGGAGGAACTGGCACATCTAGAGCCAGTTCCTCCTCTGTCGTCAGAATTAATTCACTTCCGGTTCTCCCCTCAACTACTCATCTGTCTGCTACTGCAACCTGCCCATCCAACTGGTTATGAGCCTTCTACCTACTTCCTCCTCTCGCGCCGCCCTCCCCATCACCCACCGCCTCGTCAGCGCCGAAAACTACGACGACTGGTTCCTCGAACTCACGTCGATCATCCTCCCTGGTGAAGCGTTGGACTCCATGGCCACGCAATGCACCGAGGTCGAGGCAGTGTGGTCCATGAAGGGACCCATCCGAGCCTTCCACGTCCTTAACAGCGCCGTCAGGCGCATCCGCCATCATCTTGATGCAGCGGCCAACGTCCAACCTGGCACCATCACCCCACCTCCCCTTACGCTGGACACCCACAAGGTCGTGGGGGCCGCGTTGACTGAGTGACTCTCGACCAACCGCTCCACGAACGAGGTGCTCGCGAAGGAGATCCGAGCGGACATCGAGTCCAAGCTCAAGGCCGAAAGTACAGCGGTCAGCCGCGCGTGCGCACTAGTGCAGGCATCCCTCTCGGACACGGTGCGGCGCGACATCGCTGCCGCTAACCTCGAAAAATGTGCACACTGCATCATTTCGAAGCTCCGCGGCAAGTACTGCAGCGAGGAGCAAAAGCACGCCACGGCGATCTCCGTTTATCAACGCCTCCACGCGTTCAAGTTCCGAACTCACGTGTCCCTGGATGCGAATCTACAGGCATTTGACAAGCTGCGCACAGCGGTGGAAAAGCTGGAAGGGCATCCCCTCAGCGACAGCCACCTCGCTTCCGCGCTCTTGGCGGCGCTGCCTTCCTGCATCATGCAGGATTACTACATGTGGCGCGGCCCGAAACCGAGTATCCCATACCAGGATATGCGCCGCCTGCTTGAGCAGCACTGGCCGGACTTGACGCTCAAGTATCCGTCGATCCTCGCGCCCGCACCGACAACCCTCGCTGTACCGGTTCATGGCTCAGCACCCGCGACCGCGACAACGCGATCTAGCGCATTGGCCCTTTCGGCCTTTCGCGACGGCGCAAGCCAGTGGGACGGCTACGGACAAGCGGCCGCCGCACCCTGGGGGGGCCAGCGTACGTACTGCAAACGCATGCTGAGGTACCCAGTGGCAGATGCCACGTGGCGGTTCTACCTCTCGCTCGTGTCATGGCCAAGACCCCATGGCGGATTGGTGTGGCGACTGCCTGTCCTCAGGCAGCCACTCGACGTACACCTGTACGAAGCTTTCCCGGGCGTTTCACCAGAACGCGGTGCGTCAAGACTTTGTGTTCCCACCAGGATGGGCTGCCATCCCACCTGGCGGACAACCCCCAAGTGGTGGTGGTCGACGAACTCAAGGCGGACCCAGCGGCCACCGCGGTGGCAAACGCCACGGCAAAGGCGGCGGGCGTGGTGGAGGAACCGGGACACCCTTCCTAAACACCATTCGCCAAGGCTACGCATCCAGCGGCCCACCTGGTCACGCAACAAGCGGCCGTTCAGGCTACGCCAGCATGGGAC